TATGTATGAGACAAAGCCTGTCACTATGGTCAGCCCACACAAGCCGCGGGTTCATTTGTTACTTTTTTCAAGTGCCATCCACTGAATTTGGTGATTAGTGTTGCTCAAAACTTCCCAATTGTGCCGAAGGAAAGAGGTGCGTCATTCAGGTGGCTTTTAAAGACCATTCCTGTTTCTGGAGATACTGTGATATGTTAACTTCTGTGTCCATTCTTGTTTGCTATGGGTAGTCAAAACGTGAAATCATTGAGTATACAGTACATTTGTTGTTTCTACAATATATACCATATGTAGACTCTGGACCCTACAACAATCTTCTCTAAGACAATATTCCCTGTACAGTATAACCTATTTCTTTGTTCCTGTAGGTTTCTATTTTCATTTTGTTGGGGTTCTCTCAAAAAATAAATTATCTGAGCAATTAATTATATTATGGTCCCTTGAGTTTTGTTGGGAAGTCGAATCGCCAAACCACAACAAAAACATCTCAATTATAATTATACAATCGAATTCCCAGTCTATACATTTCGCTATATCGTGAGGTAGCATTTGATGCGTTTCAATGGCGCTCGTCTTTCGGGCGATATAATTCCCAAGATTTGAGCGATTTCACATGTAACTGGAACATAGTACGCCGTGGGTGAGATTCTCCTTTTAATCGCAGACCATAGCAATACTCAAATTCAATTGTGGCATCGAGTGCAGCGTGGACTGTACATTTGAAATATATAGTTGACAATACGTCGCGGACGCAGCACAGACTGACACGTCACTGTCACCGACGATCCCCAATCCAGGCCACAACAACCCTTCAAGCACTGCAGTGCATACTCACCATAAAATATGTTAGAGGAAGTCATGACCGTGTAGCTATTTTTAATCTTTTGATGATGCTCAGCGGATTGCACCCATAAATCAATTACCGTATTATCATGATGAGGACATTGGATGCTCATGGTCGCTGGCCTGTTGCTGAGCAGAAAAGTTGATAGGATCATAGTCTGACGGGTTTTTTTGACGAACCCTCGTCGGTGTTTCCTTTCGCGTCTCCGTATGATAAACAGTATCTGGAGGAGAATTCACAGCCATATATGAGTGGGCGACCAGCTTCTCTTGTCTTTTTAGTTTTTACCAACAGCTGGAAACCATTGAAGTTGAACTTTCTAAATTACGAAGATACTTGAGGGTGCAGATCTTTAAAAAATTACGAATAACATTAAAATATCTTCAAATGATGTTCTTTAACGTCAATAAAATATCGATTTACTCCTGTGGTCTTTTCTTCGCGCAGCTCTGATTTCTAATGAGTTCATTGTTCGATATATTAATGCGAATACCGGCTCCATATGCAACTTGTCCTTATTCACAAGGTTCAAAAACTGTCCAACAGCCCACGCCCATCCATTTGACATATTCCAGTCCATCATCCACTAAATACTGTACTGTTGACATGTAGTAAACGTAGGAATTGACGGATAAATACATATGCAAGAATGATAGATTGAGATTATTTTTCAAGGGTGTCAAAAATCAGAGCCCGAACCAATACCTGCGCATAATTCGGAACAACTAAATCATAGCCTATTCCAAAATAATGTCATTTGGTTAAAACTTGCATGAAAAAATCTTCAGGGAGAAATAACATGCAGCTATAACTTTAACCTCTTCATATTGGGGAGAGAACTTTCCTATTCAGTATTAAGTTGCAGGAATCCTGAGTCTTTTGATAGTTCAAATAAATTTCAAATGATCTAATTTTCAGGAAGACTGCATGGGCAGAATACTGCGTGGAGGAATGTTTCACTAATTTTTCATACCTTCGAGTGTTGAGTACCAAAGGTACCAAGAAGTACTAAGCGACGTAACCTTGAAAAGTTTACCTATATCCCACATCCGTTCTGTTCTGTGCTACCTCCATGCAAGTTGCGAGTCTCAACGAATAAGTTGAAAATATTTTGTGAATGAAAAAACAGCCTGGGACTGATAATTAGTCTCGAGGTAATTCCCAAGAAAAATGATTTTAAACTTCCACAAATTATTCAAGTCGAGCAAAAAAAAAACCGTGAACACACTATTATTTGAACCTACAAGGATGCCTGGCAGAGACAGATCGATGATGTGGAACGCCTTTTTTTAAGAGGGGAAGATTACTGCTATGAAGTTCAGGCTACAAACGGCAACTTCTTGATTTTAAAATTTTCTGAAGGAGCTAATATCAAATATATATGCTAATGTACCCTTTTCTGTTTCTAAACAGTAGAGTAATTTTGGAATTAATGCTATCAAAGCGTACTGCCAGTTAGTAAAGGATACATAAAAATACAGGGAGCTGCTAAAAATCTTCATTAACAAAAGATGGGCGGACGGTCCTCCACACTGAGGGAAAATGCAATGCGAAACACGAAAAAGTCTCCGTGAGAACACTTTATTTCTCATGCCCAGACCAGCCACCTTCATCATCGTCGTATTCGAAAAAAAGCCATAAGCAATTGCGAATAACGCATTGGCAACCAAAATCTGAATCAACCTCACACCACCAGAAAGTTCGACAGGACCGCAGGCAAAGTTCATGACTGCAGAAGCTCTTCGTTCATAATTGTTCCTTGATTGAGTGGCTCATTCACACTTGCCTTGCAGTGTAAGCAGCGACCCAGAAGTCATCGGCAGACGTAGATTGATAAATATTTTTGATGGTGACTTCTGATTTGTCCCCTGATGTAGCCATGGCGGCTTCCAGGTTCTCGTACGATTGACGCCGTTCCCAATTTGCAAAGTTCAAGGCACTCAGGATCACACTCTGCCCAAAAAGCATAACATACGATTTTATTTGAGTTTCCCCCTCGGGTTTTTGTTATACACAAATCTTTTTGGGCCCGAAGACTGGCAAATTTCTGGTACCCGGTAAACCATAGGTCATGCAATTTCTGGTTGCGCACCTGCCAGTTGCCAGTCCCTCCAACCACCAGCAGGGTCAGAATAGCAGGCCTCCCCAATCTATTGTTGGAAAACCCAGAAGTCGCTGTTCATGCGAATCTTGGTTCTTGAATCCTGGTCACCGTGACCTTTCATCAGGCTTCCAGCCCAAAAAAAAAAAGCATTTCCCAACCAAGGGACGAAGGAAGCTTCAGGGTAAAGGTTAGGTTAATTAAGATTAGCTTAGGTCACCCTTTGCCCTGAACCTTCCTTCTTCCCTGGTCGCATTTTTGTGCTGGGCTGAAAGTCTGGAAGGTCACTGTGACCAGGATTTGAGAACCAAGATTTGCATGACCAGTTATTATAGCAGCAACCTCTGGGTACTCTAACAATCCAATCATCCAATTCCTTTGTGGCGGGCTGGAAATTGGGGAGGCCTCCTGTTCTGACTCATTTGCTGGTTGGAAGGACCGGCATTTGGGAACTGGCAGGTGAGCAACCATGGATTGCATGACCAGCTGTTTACGAGACAAAAAAAAATGTCCATAATTTTTTTTTTTTTAGACTGGAACATTTCATTGAAATTGTTTGCAGACTGGCAAAATGCCACAGAAATGTCTACAGACCAGCAAAATTTCATAACATTTTTGCAGACTCAAAAAGTTTGGTTTAAATGACAATTAGAGCAGGTACTGTATTTGATAAGCTTTCGCAAACATGAAGTGAAGAACTAATGAGCAGTTAAATTGAATGTCTTCAAAATGCTATAAAGGTTGGCTTGAACAAAGGTTTCTCAGAATGAAAAATTAGGATGATTTAAATCAGCAAGTGAAAGTTTGTTTGAGGTGTTACTAAGAGAGGAGCCAATGATTTTTTTTGTGTCAGATGATTGCAGCTGCCAATGTCTTACCATGATAACAGGTAAGAATAACAGACTTCATGTCTACTTTTGATAAATTTATCGCGCTGCTGAAGAACTTTTCTGGTGGGCCACCAAAAAAACATTTGTGGACTAGCAAAGGTCCACAGACCACAGTTTGGGGAACACTGATCTAGACTTCTAGAGTGCTATGTCTGAGAAACAGGATTGGTGCATATTTTAGAATAGACCATGTTCCGCGAATTCAGCTTGCAAAATTTTAATCATGTTTAGCAAATCTATTTTATTTGTAGTTCATCTGCCTGTTGCAATTGTGTTAGAAATGCACACGGAATCTGTCAAGATGGGTCCACTGGGGAGTACGGATTTATTTTTGAATGTTGATTTAATAGTATCCATGCTGTGTGTATTGCGTCTAAAATTACCTGAAGATAATATTACACAAATCATTGATTTGGATAAAAGTCCCAGATGCACTCTTAAAAAGATCATAATGCATGACACTATTGAATGCATTTGACATGAAGATATGTCCTTGACACAGTTGTTAAATTCATTGAAAAATTTGATTACCAAATTGCAAGGGCTGTTTATCTTGAAATTTTTCACAAAATTGAAATTGAAATCCTTCCAACACGTTTAATGATGCTCAATAAAAATCACAAGCATTTTGATTTTGACTGCACTTGCAATTGAGCTTGATTGCAGAAAATTACCCTTGGGTCGCAGCACGTCGTTTTCCATCCTGTGGCAGTGCCATGATGTTTTTGCAGGATTCTGAATTTCGGTTTGATGGGAGGTATATCACTGAAATGTTGCTTTATTTGGCTGAGTAGCCAAAGTTGGTGCGAATCTTGCAAAAAGAAAGACATTGTTCTGATAATCCCTCAATGCTAATCCTAAGGCAGAAATGCAGAAAAAATTCCACTCAATACCAACATTTCTTGAAAATGTTTCTGCGGGAAAGCTAAAAATATTGCAATTTTTCCTGCCTTTGGCTCTTTTGATCATTCTTGCTTTCCCTCCTATTGACGTACAATTTTGCAGATAAATCCTGGCACTGCCACCGAAAGGTTATAACCCTACAGTTCTATCATTTTTCCTCAGGAAATTTTGAATGGGAGATGAGTGTTGCTATATCACCCCCATCAACGGGAAGTGTGGAGAACTATGCTCCCATCCAAAAGCTTTCAGGTAAAAGTAACTTATTATTCAGAATTGAAGTAAAGCAATAATCCAACTTTTCATCCTGAAAATGTTTATTCTGAGGCCCAACAAATTACAAAAACATTACCATTGCAAATTACTAGTTTTAGCCCAATTGTAAGGAAATGTACAAGAAATGAATTCCGTAATTGAATTCGGAAGTTTCAGGTCCGGAATTTTTAATGTTGAATCAAAATCGCAAGCATTGCAATGTTGATTTTGTTTGCAATCGCACAGAATTGCGTCACATCCAATTAAAAACCCTGGTCGTATTTCCTAGAATGGTCTAAAGTTTGCATTTGCAGTGGTTTTGTGTTTGAGACTTCTATAACTTGTGATACATATACCAAACCAGNAACCAGAGAAGAACATTTACGACAAAGATAAAAATTGAAACACAAATTTGGGAAGGAAATCAACATAATTTCATTCAAATCAAATTTGATTCGTAGCAAATGGAATATACAGTATCTGGTGCATGAACTCAAAAATAGAATCTTCAAACGTCTATTCAAGAAAGTTTTAGCACGTTTTCGGGTCATTCCAAGAAGTACGACGCGTTGTGTGGCCGGTTTTATGAGGCATGCTTCTTTTTAAAGACGGGAACGGTAATGAGACCACCTCATGCTCAATGATTATATGTTCGACTGCTGTAAAAGCTTATCAGCAGAGACTTGAAGTTCGTGCAGTCAGGGAAGTGTCAGACTCGAAAGCCAATTAAGCCCCCTCACCTACCTTGCACCATGAATCATTCATAAATTCCCATTGGATCTGCAACACTATAGAGACGGAACTCGCTCACAGTGTTCTGGTCTCTGACAGGTTCTGTCGGTGCATGACCACTTTTGCCGGATAATTGCCTATGACATTACGCTTTAAGACCTGATCCATCTGACCCCCACAATTTATGCAAGATTATGAAAATGGAAAAGTTATGAAAAGGTCACAAGTTAAATTTAAAACTGGAGATTGAGTGCTGCATTTGAGTGGCAGAAGATGATGCACTGGGTTTTCCATTAAAGATGTTAAGGACTTTCAGAAATTGAATTTGAATCAGTATCAAAAATAGCTTAGTCAATTATGCGAAGAATTTCTTCATATATTTTTTTGGAGAAGTCAAGGAAGCTGTGATGTTTACAATTTGTCAGCTTTTGGTATAATCAATGAGGCGTGTGCTGATTTTTTCTCTAGAATTTGACAAAACCACTTGCCCTGCTTTTTGTGATTGTACCGTACTAAGTTTATAACACTACAAGAGTAATTTCATGCCTCATGTCACATATTTGAGGAAATACACTACCTTGCATTTTGACCGTAATCTATTGCCAAGCTATAAGGTCAAATTGCAAAATGAAAAACACTCCATGAAATTGAAAAACGTAAGAACAAAAGTGCAAAAAAATGGTAACAGAAGGTCCAATTATGGGGCAAGGGTCAAATTGCAAGTCAACCTCCCCGCAAATTTGACCATCAAATAGCGGGGAAGTCAAATTGCAAGTCAACCTCAGTAGGTTCATGATCATGTATTTTTCAAGAGACCTGCCAGTTGTTGAGCATATGCTGTATATTATAGTTATTTTTGATCTTCCCAAAACCATTCCCCTCATTTTCCACAAAGTCTTGTTTTAACTTCTGAAACATCTGCCTTCACAGCAGATGACATCATATGCTGGTCCAATTCATCAATGGCTTTTCAGAACGCGCTTCAATTGGGAGTCACTGACATGAACATTACAATCTGACATGGTTTTTACAAGTAATTCGATCACCTGATCATCTGCTTTCGATTTGATATAAATTCATTTATACATTGACTCATTACTGACTAAAGAGTAAGAGCCTACCCAGCAGGAAGACAAATTTAAAAGTAGATTTTTCATTCTTGACGCATGATGGTTTCAATTATTGCTTTCGTCTTTTTCTTCTTTTGTTTATAAGCAGCTAACACTTTTATCGATTGAAGATAATCCGCTGAAATGACCACCACTTTCCATCCATCGTCTGTGCTGTTGAACCCAAAACTTTGCCGGTGTTGCATCATCACCTAACTTAAGTTATCCATCAGATGCTGGAATTTCCACGTGTTGAAAATAATTCTTTCATAAACTTCGATGTAGGATTTATCAATGAATTTTGGAAGAGCTGGAAAAAGTTCCCTCGCAATGGAGAAATTATTTTATGGTACATTTTCAGCTGTCTGTAAGAATTAATTCCATATAAGTTTACACGAATCGAAGCAGACTTGGAAAACTGGATGAAATTGTACAGATAATTTACTGATCTTTAGTCGGGCAATATCGCAAAGGTCCAGGTTTACTGCTTACTGATGCATTGTTGCTTTCAAGTCCTTTTTTTCACCGTCACAGAGCCTAAAATGAGCGTCCAGCAGATCTCGAAAATTTCTCGGATGTTGTGAAGGTTCTTCAAGTCTTATTTTCCTCAACAGTCAAAATTTCCAGTGACTTCTATTGTCGGAATAGTTGGGGACCAACTCCTACTGCTGCTGATTATCCATGAGTTGAGGAAACTGACAGAACTTTTGCCCCGCCCCTCAGCATCAGGTATACTGAATATACGAGTTTAATTCCGCCTCAAAGAGATAACAGAAGAACTAGTTAATTGCCACGATAGGTCCGGATGGGAAGAAAAATTCTCCAGCTCAAAATAAAGTGTCTATCATGAAGCAGTAATGGTGATGCTTACCGTTGATATCAGGACCAAAGCTGCAGTGACGGATGCGGCTGGGAATCCGAAGGTGTCCACTGTAAAGCCACCCACAATGGCTCCAAAAAAATCTCTGTCAAGAAAGATCCCCTGTCAGTTGTGATCGATGAGCGACCCGAAGGCGAAGGCGACAAAAATACTGTATCACCATATCCAGCTGTTTGTCCAGGACAACTTTTTTTTTTTTTTTTGGTTGGGACACTTGAAAAATAAGCTCCGATCCGTAAGAAATATTCCACACGACCAACAAAAAAGGATTTACACCGAATAATCAGTTTTCCTGAGGTACACTGCAAAAAATTCAAGTCTTCTCCAATGTTAGCAGGCCTATAGCTTTACTTTTCAAATTATTGACTAATGTACACAGATTTTTACAAAAATTTGAAATTTGGTCGGGATATCAGCATAAGGTGCCGAATTTAATTGAATTTGTTTACTTAGGGCGATATATGAAATCCACAGTGAATTTCGAACTTGAAGCGGAAATTCGTGTTTTTCGAGAAACCCCTCCGAACATTGATCGAATTACATTCGAAAGAATTGGGAATTAAAATTGCGAAAAATTGCTAATGTTGACCTTTTCTGCCTTCAAATTTAATTTTCGAAATAGTTTAGACCCCGAGGGCGGCTTCGGCGCATAAATTCGGGAAAAACTGGAACTGACAAAAAAATCTAGGCAGAACTTCAATTTTTCTTCTTGGCCACAGTAATCGCAGGTTGGAGAACAGTTTTGAAGAGTTACCGTATTTCATTCCATTGACCTATATTAGTCAAAGCCTCCAAGTTTAAACTTGACTAATCTTTGCTTTATTGCAGCAAATTCCGACCATAACTTTTGAATCTTCAGGAATGTCGACGAGGGGTGCTATGGTACTTGCAGACCAATAACAAGCTTGAACTCAGGAATAAACGACTACCGTATACCTGTACAATAGATGCTGATTCGTCAGGGGAGAAAATATTTCTGCTTTTTCAATGCCAGCTTGTTTCATTTATGAATCTGACTGAGGCTCTCCACTTCACCATAAAAACATAAGATTACATTTGTATTTTATTCGCTGACATGATGAGTAGGTTTTTATCATTTTTTCCAACTGTATATTCAACATGAAGTAACAGAGGTTACATTACCTTTGTTACTTAATGTTATATATACAGTATTTGTATTTTATTTATTCTTTCTTCAGCTAGAAAAAAAATAAAAACCTACTCACCATGTCAGCAAATAAAAAAAAAATTTAATCTCACGTTTTTATTGTGAAGTGGAGAGCCTCAGTCAGATTCATAAATGAAACAAGCTGGCATTGAAAAAGCAGAAATATTTTCTAAATACAGTATACATATTCTAAGCAATTGAATCAGACACGTGACAGACGATCATCTATCACGTGGACATGTGGAAGCTTTTTCGAGATATTTTCAAAAAAATTATGATCAAGAAGCATATATGGCCACGTATGGGCATATCATTTTTTTTAATGGGACGTTTACGGAAATTTCGGGGTTTCAAACCCTTGAGATATACTTTCGGATTGATGTTGACAGATGCGAAGCTCATCCATCACTGTTTTCTCCACCAGGCAATTCAATCAATCATTGCTCACCCAATTGAAAACGTCACGAACCAGATAACAGCAATGCTTGTCGCATACGTCACCCGTTCAACGCCGCCTGCAGTGCTGTTGGTTCGGGTTCCAGGTCTGTGAAAATTATAAAAGGACTGCCAGGTTAGCAGACATTTTTTTTAAACCACAGCACATGCAGTTACCTTATCATATTCAAACACACTCTACAGTGAGACCCAAACATGTGGAAGTACTTGGAGTATAAAGAGTGTCACCAAGTCGAAGTGTCCCTATAAGTTGAGTCTCATTTTCCCTTAGACTTACAAAACAATTTTTGGTGTTCTACAAACAAAATATTCATCCTAATTCCATTAAAATTAAAAAAAATTTCTCCCAATTCAAACTGATTTGATTAATATCTTTCAATTAACACAGTGTGGACATTGAGAGCATTGAATACTGATACCTCTGGATAGTACTGTGCATTGAAATGTCAGCCTTCTCTGTGGAGTGGAAATAACATGCAAGTCAAAAAGAGAGATTGAAGTTGTCCATCTATTTGCTGGAGGTAATTTTTTTTAATTATCTGAATGGATGGTAAATTGAAGAGAGGAATGCCAAGAAACTTTTCTTGAATATATTTTATAGTTGGGAATATCCGTTTCTTTCAATTAGGCCTGAAAATTATTTGCCATTGTAGTACACAATGTCCATGTGTCAATTTAGTTATGCCTTTTGCATGCCTTTTTTGGGAAAAAATTGTACCTATGTTGAATTTTCCAAATTTCCAGGTGTCTGCGCGTATAGGGGTCTCACTGTACATGAAGAACGTTTGTAGTCATCTGGAAAAGTTTTTAGTCAGGACGAGTACCCCAAGAAATGTTTAGTCAGGAGTACCCCAAGAAATGTTTAGTCAGGAGTACCCCAAGAAATGTTTAGTCAGGACTACCCTGATTGTGCTGAAGACTTATTTTATCTAAAGCGATAAAGAATTTAAAACATGCAACAAAAGCCACCAAAAGTTTTCCATCAGGTCACCCAAATCTTTCACAGAGTTTCCAAGTGAAAGAATGAAAAAATGACGCGAGCAAAGATTCATATCAATTTTGAGCAGACCAAATTGAAATGAAAATTGATTCGTGGTACTCACAAGGCAATGTCGAAAAGCAGAGCGAACGTGGGAATGAACGAGAATGCGAATCCAAAACCCATGAGCACAACAGCTGCGATGCTCAACCACACCGTTCTAAAAATTCAGAATCATTTATCTTGCTATGAAAACGAGAGACCAATTGGAGAATCAAACTAAATTCCTCAAATTTTATATTTTATGCGCGCCAGAATCCAAAGCTACTGTTCTTACGAACAGCCTCACGAACATGAGGATAGAATTTTCCTATCTAAACATTAGATTTTCGGACGTTTTCTGGCCTACGTTTTAGACACACAAAAAAAGCTAAATTCCCTCTTCATCGTGAGTAACAGGGATTATTAATTATGTTCGTGACAAATTTATTCATATCTTCATTTCACACGATGAAATTCTCGCATGCTGTTTTTCTCTCCAAGCTAAATTACAGTATTCAAGTAAGTACCATTTGCACCTTCTTTCGGAAAATGTTTGCAAAAACGTAGATGACGTGTGGAAAGAAGGAAGTCATCATTAGGGAGAAAAATCATAGGGGGGTTTGCTGTGGTAGGTGAAAATTATGAACAGCTAGGAAACACTTTTGGGAAAAAATTTTCCCAAAGGGCTTTTTGTTTCAAATCCATTTCAAGATTATTCCAATAAATATCGAAAAAGTTGAAAGAAAAATCACGAAATATTAAATTTAAATTCTCACCAACAAAAACTGGGTTATTGTTTTTCTCGTCTATGAGGATGTATTTTCTGCCGAATTTTTTTTACATCCCTAAAATAGGTACATTGGATGACATGTGTTACTTGAGGAATTTTTATCCTTCAGTGAATAGAGTAATTACCCATGAATAGTGTTGCATTAGTTTCCCTTTTTTAGGAAGTTGGGTTACACACATTTATCTGGATACACACCATACTTCAAGTCAAACATGAGTACTGTAATTCCAAACTTTCTTTTCACATTCCACGTGTGTCTCCAGATAATTTTCTTCAGAACAATGAATTTAAACCTCCAATCACCTCAAAATTTAATCACCTCACGTTCACTATTCGAATCACATAAATTATCTTGCAGAAACCAAAGGAAACAAACGTAGACTATTTCCTCAATGCTTTTTTGAGGCACCCCAGCCCAGTAAGCAAGAAGTTATCCAAAAAATGTCTGGAACTCATCCAAATGAGTTCCACAGACATTTTTGGAGAACTTGTCTGAAAATTTGTGCTCTGGTGGAAAGTGTGGAGAATTTGTCCACCAGAGTATGGTTCTTTTGTGCACATGTTGGAGAACTTCCCTGCTAGTTTTGGGCACCAGTGTCTGGCAGACAAGTTCTCCAAACCTGTCTGCATTATCCAAAAATTCTTGACAAGTTTGGAGAAATTTTCTGCCAGTTTCTGGTGCTAGTTTCTGGCGCCAGTGTCTAGCAGAAAAGTTTTGGGAAATTCTGGATTTAGCTGGTGACTTTTTTCCATAAGCTGAATTCACATCAACCAAGTTATCTTCCCAGCAAAGAATGGGGACATTGGGCTGGCAGACATTTTGACTATGGCATTGGCAATGCCTTTTTAGTGCCATTGTCAGAATGGTGAGGGCTGCAGCCAATGCCTTTTTGTTATTGTTGTTGGGGAAACACTATCTGAAGCCATTGGCAATGCCATTCTCCCAATGTTGGAAAAAAGGCATTCTTGAATTGGCATTGACCACACATTGACAATGTGTATTCAAAATGTTATTCCAATGTTAGGGGGCAAGGCATTGAGTGGCAACCAAGTTGCCATTGCCACAACATTCTTGCCTTAATGGCATGGCAACACATTGGAAACACAAATTGGAATGTCCCAATTATTCGCTGGGTTACTATAGCTCTTGGACTAAGGGGTTGGACATCCATGCAGAAGTTCCTGGGTTCAATTCCAGAAGAGGTAGAGGCAAATGATTTGTTACAGGTATTGCTGAGCGTTACAGTTACGCATTAAAAATGCATTTGTTATGCATAACTGCTAAGCCTAGCTTCTTCTGAAATGCCTTTTTTTTCTGTGTTGCTGTACAGAACATTTTTTCTGAAATGCATTCAGAATGCATTCTTAATGTATTCTGTAGTTGCGCCTATGCTTTAAAAATTGTTGATGAGCTTTTCTTGAGTGTAGCAGGCAGGTGTTTTGAAATGCCTGCCTGTTACACTCAAGAATTTCAATTCTTTCAAAACGCCCAAATTATTTGCTGCGGGGTATTCTTTGATAGGTTAAATAGGATAGCACTTTAACTAGGTAGGCTTGAAACATATGCAAAAATAGGTGTAATGGTGTTGCTAAATATGTAGATTCCTTACTCGAAAAGTTGAATATAATAGGAGGTTCAATGCAATTTATCAATAAAAATAGTCAAGTAAATTCTGCATGTATCAAATATGTTTCAGAAAAATACAGAAGCTGACACCCTGAATATTGGGCAGGGTGGGAAAATTTTAATCCACAATGATGTTAAATTTTGGGGGGAAAATACAAAATTTGGAGAGAACTGGGACAACTTTTGATAAAAATTGGACAATGTGCCTGATTTTTATTCAAAAGGTGTCCCAGTTCCCTCCAAAACGTTTGCAGTTTTGATCCAAAAGTTATGCAAAAGCAGTTGTCTTTTGGATTAGTTTTGGATACAAATTGGATAAATTGTCATTTTTTGTCCTAAAGTTATCCAAGCCAACTGGTCCAAATGTTGTTCGATTTTGGCAAGATTCTGGGATAAGTTGGTTTGAATAGCTTCAAGACAAAAAATGGACATTTTTGTGCTCCTTGGGCCAAGGATTTCCTGCATGTAGGAATTCATCAGTGATGAAAATTTTCAATGAATAAGCAAGAAAAAAGTTTTGTTAAATGGTGCACTCAACTTGCCTGAATTCCTTGATTCGAAAAACCCCCACAGTCAATTTCTCAGAGTCTCTTCGAATTTGACTCAGAGAGGTAATACTCCACAGCTAATTCGAAGATTTATTTGAATGAATTGGACAAAAAGGATTTTCACTATTTCAGGAAGGAAGATTCGAAGATGACGATGGAATGACCTACTTGTTCATGGCGAGCATTGGAGCTGGACCAATGAGGATGAATCCGATGGCTTGAACAGCTAATCCAAAAGCGCAGATGAGCACTCTGTTCCTGCTGCCCGTGGTGTCCACTAATTTCTTGACAAAGAAGCCGAAGCATACAAATGTGGCGGCTGAGATCAGGAAGAACAAGCCCACGTTCCCGTGATCCGTAAGCATCTATTAATTAACCAAAACCGGGACTCCTCGTTATTGATCTATCAGGACGACACCATGAGGAGGAGGAGGAGGAGGAAACCGATACCCGTAAAGGGTTTCGACTCATCAAGGCTCAACTGAGTACTTGAAGAAAAAAAAAAACCACTCAAATATGTGCTGTCCGCGATGGGCTTATAGTTCCTCAAGAAACTTGTTTGCTGCTTCTCCCGTTGCTACAGAGACACGGATTTAAAAATATGATGGATGCCTATGGGTCGAACGACTCCGAAAAAGTTATCAAACTGTCGTTCAGTCCTCAAATCTCGCAAGGAATTTCCTTTTATTCTGGAGACTCCATTGCTATTCAACTGCATATGTAATTCAATCTTATCCGTCATCCAAGTACTGTACAATACAGTATCAAATACGAAAAAACATGAAGCTTCCACGTCCCCTGACAACAAAACTCATTTTTCCGCACACACGGAAACGCGATCGTTGGTAAGTGAAATTTTGAGCTGATCTACGAGAATCAGCATGAGCAGGGCCAATCGTGTTACAGTGGCGAGGCAAAATTGAGAAACCCAATTCGAAAAAAAAAACTTCGGAAAGGAACAACTTTTTTTTAAAAACATCGAAAGCACAGTACAGTACAGCACTAACTAGGGTCCTCTTTTTTGCACCTAATGCTGTCACAACTCGCAAGGTTTGAAAGAAATTTTCAGTGACAGTTTATTTTTCAGAACGCTCGTCGAGTTATTAAAAGAAATTAAGGTTTTTTTTAAATTGCAGGTATAAATCGAAGAAAGCTTCAACTCCGTTTTTACATCGGAATATATTTTCGATATGTAAATGGGTGTGTATATCAACGTATTAAATTCTTACACCTTCAATTTTTTCACACAAAAAAGGGTCGATTGGTCTGCAGATGAAAAAAAAGCGACTCTCCGAAGGTCTCGTGGGAAGCGCAGTATTGAGTATGAAAGCTGAATTGAATTAATTATCAGGAAGTGAATAGAGACTAACAAGAATAGATAATAAGTACAGTACTGATGTATTGTGCTCGTAATTTGATATACACGATCCAAATACTGAAGTGACCGGACGTTTTGATTTGTAGGACCCGGAAAAATAGTCATTGACGAGGCATCGGGCAAGTTTTAGGGGCTCCAAAAAAGAGATCGGTGATTCAATCACAGTAGTTCCGAAAGGGTTCCGTCCTTCCATGTAATTCGATAACGTATACAAAATATTCCGAGACAGCGAGTAATAATATACTTTATACTTTTATATCTTTTAAAAGTCACTGCGATGCTAAAACGTGAAACCAATTCATTGTAAGCGGGAGGTGTGAATAAGATGTAAAGATTTATTTTCCGTGGTGCACTGCTGAAAGCATTTCAATCTGGTTTCGGAGCATCTCCATTTTTCTACACAGTGCGCTGAATTATAATCATTTCATTTTTTGAAACGTGAATAAAATCTCACCGGTCGGAGATGTGGCTCGAGATTGTTCTGGAAAAAGGAGATGACAGCCGATATTACGACCAAGTAGAGATCCAACGTCATCAGCTGGGACGAGAACAGCGGGTCGACATCAAAGGGGTCATCTGAGTTATGAGCAAGGAAAAACGTCAATTTGTTCCGCATAACTATCGGTATCTTCGGATCAAGAGCCGCCTAAAAAGTTCAGCAACACTTCAAAATGAAACGTGTTTCTCAGTATTGCTCTGAACTCTTTCATCAAGAGGGCACAGTACATACTAGGGGTTCTAACAAAAGTTCATGTATTTTTCCATCATAAGTTTTTTCCAATGAAATGTGTCCAAATTTTCCATAAAAATCAAAGATATAATGCATACCTGTTTTTAAATTTTTTTAATTTCTACACCCATCCATGACGCACACACATTTTTCTTACTCTCGATTTTGAGAAAAAAGTGCATGTGTTACTGAGTAAATTCAGTACAATATTTGGAGACTTGGAGGAGGCAAACGTTGGTGATATTACCAAATCATTTTTGAGAATTCTGAAGGGAAAACTGGGGCACACGTATGAATCTGTGAGATGGAGACCTACCGCATCTTTCAAGTGAAGAGCATCCACAGAGCTTCCAGTGTGATTTTGGCACAAAAAATCCCCAAAAACATGTCAAGCAATAAAGGCTGAATTTCTTCCTTATGCCACAGGATGTTTTTTTTTTAGCAAAACAGTGAAACCCCCACATGCACACACCTCAACAAGGGGACAATTTGACATAGGGACATTTATTTTTCAAGAATGAAAAAGGTCCAACATAGGGACATTGGCTTGACATGAGGACATTGAATGATAAAATTTCCAATAAAATTTAAGAAAATTGACTTTTGTTAGGCTTGATTGCAAGAAACAGATATTTCCATCCCATAGATCTATGTAAGAAATATTCTTTGGTACTTTTCCCATCACTTTCCCATCCATTCAGCTAATTAAAAAAAATACCTATAGAACAGAGGGACTTCATCCCCTTTTTGTGACTTGGGTGTTAGTTTCAAAGATCCCAAAATTTCAATGAACTGTACAGTGGTATACTATTCAATGCTCCAAATATTCTTATTTGGTTGAAAAGATATTCACTGAATCAAATTCATGTGGCAACAAATTTTTCTTGGAATTCTGAACAATATTTCTTCCACGAAACAACAATTAAAAATTATATAATGTAAGTATATGAGAAAACAAGACTTTACTAAGGGACAATTCAACTTAGGGACACTCTTGATGCACAAATTATGTTGGCATCTGGGGGTCTCACTAATTTTTTCCAGCTCAATTGTATGCTATTTCAACTGCAGTTCCCAGAGCATTTGTCAGACCCCTCGCCTATTGTAGATGTCCCTTTAAAATTATGATGAGAAGACATCCACCCTCATATTCAGATGGTTGATTATGTGAGTTCAAAGGGCATTTGGTACAAGTAACAGAGAGCTTATAGGGGGCACTGGGAACGGCTCTCCCATTCGTTTGACAGCTCAGGCCAATGATCCACAAACCTCCAGATGGCGCCAAGGTGTGCGTGTCAACGGTTTTCAAGACTCTCCATACAAAAGCGCCAAGCGTGAGGGTCAACAAACCCAGCACAGCGTTTGGTAGCATGAACCCCGAACTCTGTGGACAACGTGACAATCGATTCATCACAGCATTTGCTTTGTGGAGATATATGAAGCATAACATGTCTTTTTGATATTGACCAGGGCCTGTGTTTAAAACTACTGTGGGCGTGGCATGTTGCATTGAAAAGCGCGCTTTAACTCTGTGCTGGGAAAATATTTAGTAAAAGGCAACAAGAGGTGAATAGGACTACCATTGAATTGATGCCCATCTATTGGCTTGATATACATATAAACTGTATATACCTGTTGCACCATAAATTGTTCAACTCTGTAAATTGTCTGTAGCAATGTTTTGATATATGTACACAATATTGTTCTCACAAGCACTGAAAATTTCCAAAAATGTGTTTTTAAACTAAGGCCTGATTCAGGAAAAGTTTGATATTTCTTTGTATGATCCTGCAGAAAATTGTGCCTAAAAATTAAAAAAAAATTATTCACTGGGCAACACTTTTCCCGGTATTTCTACCATAGGATAAATGTTGATGATTTCTACAGAGAATAGGAAATTTCCTACCCAGATTTTTCCAAATTTAGACATAATTCTCAACAGGGGGTTTCCGTGTGACCTTCAGTTGACCTGAAATGTGCCTCCCTTGGAAAAATCTCAACTCCGCTGTGCAGAATGGATAGGAACCCTTAGCATTCCATGGGTTGAGACAAGGTTCATCAGCAAGTTTTGCCATCCTTGAAGGTACTGTATCGTGAATATTTTTTTTATGAACAGGTGGACTCCCTCAACAACAATATTCTTTGCAGAACAATTTTTTTTTAGCCCCATAAGGTTCTTTTTCCATGTTTTAGAGGTTCTCCATAATAAAATTGTATTTTTCTAATTTTTCTGGACCCTTCCATTTTGTTGTAGAAAGAGTCCACCTGCAACATACTTCCTTATAAACTATGCACATCTGTTTTACAAAATTTCAGGGATGTGCATCATGGTACATGGGTATAACATTGTCGAACAATTTCTGAAGTTCAGGTGTCTGTTTCATTTCATTTGACTGGTAAACTTTGGACTAATTTTAACAGAAAAACTTTTCACAATCGAGATACTATTTGAAAACTATTTTCATTCATGTACAATAAGTCATTTGTAATTACAAATTTGGGTTTTTTGGTTTTTCAAATATTGAAGCTTCAGAGTCGCTAAAAAGAGGGCACACATCTTACTTGGGAATAAGAAAAAATGTTCAAGAATTCTGACTGAAAACCCGTAGAGCATGTCTTACTCAAGATTGCTTGTCACTCCAGTAAATACGGTAGTATTCGAATTTGTATATAATGTACAATATTGGGGTGAATAATTCTTTGCTAATCCTGGACATTCATTCGAAAATTAGTTTACGAGACGACGTTAGAAGAAAGACAGTTTGTTTTCCGAGTTCAAAATCCCATTTACATTATTACGTAATGGAAAAAAGTTATTGTCAGTTGATGTCGCAACGAGGCTGTTGGCCTTGACGCCATGCCGGGCCTCACACAGGACATTTCCAATTCCAATTTGAATCATGTACTGTACTGGTTGCAAAGATACTCTGCTTGTTCTGTGTTGTAGCAAAATTCATTCCCCTTTTTAAGTACAACGTAAATAGAATCTGATGTCTCTGGAAGCCTTTCCATGTTGCCCAGAGGGATTCGCATTCCTGGAACTACTTCTATGGGCGTTTTAGGGTGTGATTCATGAGAGATGGGTATCCTGAAACTTACTTTTTTTCTTTCACTTATTCAGCCTTTTCTCCCTTCTTTCTTATAAGTAGTTGAGATCATTGGAAAAACGACTTGCTCATGTTCACTCATACCTTGAGTCACAGATACATATTTTCAGGACATTATATCTTGAATACCTCTGCAATACAAGTGCTTCAGACCACCAATTGAATTACATTTTTGCTGATTTACTCTCTTTTTTAAATATTCTTCGAGACAATCATCTATTACGGCCAGTAAACACGCTATGAATATTTTCCGTATTTTTTCTTTGATACGTTCTTCGGGTATTTTTGGAAAATGTACAGCAAGCTAGTGGCCAACCGTAGCCCAAAACATTACACTTGCAGTTTAGGCAATTCAAGTTTAAGGTGTTAGTCGTACATTATACTGTATGCATATACTGTCCTACTAATACCGGAAACTTAATCTTAATTGAAAATAAAATCTCAACTTAGACTCCAATCGAACTCGATTTCAATTAAACTGCATGTGACTGGTTCATTATACTGTATTTTTTACCTATAAAGCATGATATGGTTGGTTTTTCTATTTTAGAGAGCTGCCCATTAGGAATTTGCAATAATTTTTAATGAGACACCTGGAACACAGATTCATACTTTTATAGATAATTTATTAAAACTTTTCAACAGGATTAGAAACAATTCCTAAGAAAACACAAAGAATAAAACACATTAAAAAATATATAGTGTAAAATAACAAAATTTGCACACAAACTCCATGAAATGCAATTTATAATGATAGAGGGTGATCGGCCTATTCTCGCCCTCCAATTCGAGACTTTTCCCTAAAATTATTGACAATTTGCAATTAAACTTTAACACATTATCTCGTGAGATAGTGCGTTACAGTATAATTTAAAAATTTGCCTAATTTTTCAATTACTGATGGGCAGCTTTTGCATCAGTAAAATGCATGTGAATCGCTCTTTTACAATTTTACCTAACACATGATGGTTGGGTCAGATATTTGATTGGATTGGAGTCTCGGGCAAAATTGTGTTTTATAATTCGAATATTTTTGTTCTTCCTTTGTTCAGTATCATACGGGCCAACCGCATTAAAATTATTGCAAATCAAAATTCTGGGTGCACTGATGTAAATTCGCACAAAAATTACAGATCACAGAAACATTACAGCATATTGTAGAATTATACGCAGGAAAAATGAAAAAAAAAATGTAAAAATTGTTTCTGTGCCGTGAAAAATCCGATTCAGCGATCTAATGAGAATCATCAGATGAAGCTCGTTTTAGCTGGGACAACCGCGCCACTCCCATTCCTTCGTAACAGAAAGATATTTTCGAAATCAGTAATACAATATGTAAAATAGTTTCGAAACAAGCATAGGGGAACAAGCCGTACAAATTAAACGAAAATTCCTCCTCAATTAACATGGCCTTGGTCTTGTAGTGGTTGTGTGTTACATTTTTTTTAAAACTTTCCGCGTAACGAAGTTTCAAGGCGCCTACACGTATTCCGGTACGTGCTTTACATCTTCTATTATCTTAAAAAAAGAAACCTATTCTTTGATATTGTTCATTTGGTTGGAAAAACATGGAAAACTTTCTCACGGCGTGCATAAAAGCTGCCACTGCAGGGCCAACGAAGTACGCAGTACCAAGACTGACAGCCACGAGTACCTGCAGACAGAAAAATGATAATGTTCCAGGAAGTTCAAATTTCTGGAGAAAAAACTTATATAGTTAAGGAATCGGAGACTAATTAATTACACGAAGAATGAGCATGAGCTCAACCGACATTTGAATCTACAAGTCAATTGAATTGCGTTGTCACCTCACCATGGTTCCTTTTACGTCGTCCTGGAAATTTTCAGCGAGTATTCTCAACACGCAAATCGCCACAAGTGCAAATCCGATGCTGGCAGCCAGTTGGAAAATAACGCTGACGATGAGGAACCATGTGCCGTTGCCCAGTTGATCAGTGGACCTCGAAATTGTAGTAAAACAAAGGAATTGAATCTCTGGATGTCAGCCTCAGATATGCTGATGACCTCATTGAAAGAAATGAGTTTTACAGAACTCCAAATATTTTAAATATAAAGTGATCCCACGCGAAATCGGAAGAGAGAGAAAAAAAGGAAAGGGATGCCTGTGGAATTTGCAATTTTTGCAGGTCCCGTGAGCAAAACGATTTTGAGCTCATATATACGAGAGGGGTGTTCCTCAGACCCCCTTTTTTAGCCAACTAATTTTCTGCTGATGAGGACAGAATTAAAAGTCTGTTTTATCTGCCTCAAGTCTAAAGTCGTTTCCTGAACCTGAACTCCACAAGAACTGATTTAATTGGAAATTGAAGGACGGACAAAACCAAAAGTTCTTCGTTTTCACATACCATGTGGTCAGTTAATGTGACCAACTTACCCTCTGAGTTTAATAAAAAACTCAACGTCTTTTATTCAGAGGCAATCTTCTCAGAACTTGGAGAACAATAAGAAGATTATCTTTCTCGCTCTATTGAAATTTAAATTGAAAATCATTGAGTTTATTAAAAAATCCATTTTACTGCATATTAATTTATTGTGTATTATTCCATATGTTCTCTCAGGAATTTCTTCGAATACAAATTGAACAATGTTTGATGATTTATCTGAAGAACTATAGAACTTGTGATTTATGTATCCTCAAATGCATGCTTTTTATCACAAAAATCGTTGATCGCCCTGCGTCTTCATTCAAAAACATGCATGTTCCATTACTTTGCTTCGTTTTTTCATTCAGAACTTCAAAGTGAAGGGGAGAACAGTCCATGTCCACAGCACTGCACATTAATTCAATTTTGGCATCGAAATATTTCCACATACTGTACATTTTAAGCTTTTCTGATATGTAACCAACATGATACTTTTTCTGATAGCAACCAGTTACGGTAATTGTGAACGGATTGGCCGAATTAAGACATACTTTGCCCACATATATGTCCAGTGTATGCCAAAACCGGATATGTTTGTAAGAGTGACAAAACCTCATACGCCTAATTTGTTTTCGGAAACTGGTAGAGAGAAACATTGAAAGAATTATGTGGTATTTTCATATGTGCCATGCTTTTCCGGATATCAGCACTCAGCAGGCACCCCACTAACTGATAATTCAACGAATATTATTATGCGAAAAACCAATTCATTCTATAAGGACATGTCCGCTGTTCGCCTTCTCAGTATAATTGATTGAATCCGATAACGCCACTCGTCCATCATTAATCGAAAATGTACGATTGCAACGGTTCAGATAACAACGTCTGCTACAGCACCCCCCCCCCCCCTCCAATAATGACGGTTGGTATAAAAAATGCATTTAATTCCATCCAATCTCTGACGAGATCGTAACTCGAGGTTTACTTTTTTCACATACCCCAGGCAAATGGTCGCAATCCCTGTGATCCAGATTCCAGCGATCAACATTCCTTTTTTCGTGGTACTCTGAACAAGAAGCTGTCGAGAAAAATGGAATGAAAAATTTTCGTCTGAAGACGAGAATCCAACTGGCACGAAAACACGGCTAAACTGTAAGTGCCAACAATAGATTCGTGAAAATGTGCATCGCTTAACCTCAGGAGTCAGGACTCACGAATTTTGCGAATCACTGCAAAGACTCACATTTTCTCAAGTTGAGCAGCTAGTTAGTACACGAATAATAATATGAATATTTCGGCAGCAATCGTCAACGAAATTGAACAGCGAGAGGAAAAGAAAACTGATTCGAGAAGTGCAGGGAAAAGATGTGATACTCACGCGTTTCGTCAATAATACCCCGACAATCGCTGAAACAAGTCCTTTTGCACCAGAAAACAGCACGCTTGCATACACCCCTATTCCATACGCATTTATCTGCAAAAATTCGAAGATCCCAAGGTTCAGATACGTCAATTGCATAAGGACTTCGTTCAACGGAAAGTGTTGTTAGAGGTTAATTACCTGAATACAAACCAAACTTTTGTAGAAAATTCTTATCAATGTTAAAAACTAGTGGAAGAGTCCACATTTCAGGGTATGAATGTTATTGCTTGATTTTGGTTGAATGTAGTTCTATATGCAATCCAGAGCAGTGTTCCACATTATCCCCAGCCCTTGGTCTGTGGCATGGGTACATTGGATCCCAGACAAAAGGAATTGAATTGTGCAGCCATCAGAATGCAAGTTTTGAAAAAGAACTCAAACTCTTTTCAGAAGAGTTCATTCTCATTGCCCAGTTCATCAGTTGGTTGTTAACCCTTGGATGGTGGCAGCCTCCTTTCCATCCCAGGGCAAAGTTGGAATTTTTCCAGATGGGTGTGCATTATGTATTTGCACAAGGTTACGCAACCCCTGCCAGGTGGGGGAGGGCAAAGTCAGATTTTTTTGGGTGATAATGAAATACTGGGAAAGTCCTGAGTTGGACTTTTTCTGTATTGACCTCCAACCTGGGCTCCTGGCTTTCAAGCTTAAATTTAATCTTTGAATGGGGAAACAACACAAAGCCAGGGGAAAAAAGGGAGCCTTGATGTTTTCATTTTTTCATTTTCAGGTGAAATTTTTCTGTGGAAAATTGAAAAAATGCCAGGATTTTTCCAAACTTAGCCCTGCACACACTGTTTGGGGTTTTTTTAATTCCACTCTTGAGTGCCACCCAAATCTGCAAAAAAAAGTCTGACTTTGCTGCAGAAGGGTTAATTCAATGGTTGTAATTGCTGAGTCAATTGTAAGATTGGTTGGTTATCTCAGAATATTGAATAAGGTAATTAAAGGTAAAAGGCCCTTTAGCATTAGGTTCTGACTCTTTTCTCAAAGAGGAATGAAGGCTTTTATAGCCAGGTCCTTGGACTGGGTCAGGAGAAAATCAGGTGATTTCTTCCTGGCTCAGGATTGGCCAATGCAGGAAAAATTGAGGAAGTGATAACCACTTCTCATCCTTCAGTTAGGCTTAGTGAGTCATGCAAAAACAGGAATTTTACGAGGCTCACTGGCCTTGGAAATGCAACAAGTTTTTGGGCCCAGTTGCAACTAGATGCTGGAGCTGAGTCACTTTGGGACGCAACAAAAATCCTCCCTGGCTCAATTAGATGAGCAAGGGATTCAGAAAATTGAGCCACAAAAGTTTCAATGGGACACATGCAGCATAATGCAGAAGTCTATCTGGTTGGTACAGTACCAGTCAAGGGATGTTTCCCTGTCATCTGCCATGCCTCAGAGCCTGCAAGTATGTATTTGTGATGATGAAGTCCTGTTGGATGTCCTTTTTCATAAGTCATGTTGGCTGCAGTTTGCAGCAGATCTCAGGCCCTTAGGCACATGAAGATATCATGTAATGATGATTGACTGGGCTCAGCATCAAGGCATTTCAGCAGGTATGGCATCACATATGACCAGATTGTATTCAACAGAATGTCACTGATGAGGCTGTGCCCAAAATTGGAAATGAAAAATGTCCTCCCTGTCACTAGGGTACTGCTACTGAGCAATGAATAAGGGAACACAATTTAAAATTTGAAAAGGTCAAATGGGTAAGACACTAAACTGGCCACCATTTTTTGTCATGGGTACATTGGATCCCAGACAAAAAAATTGAATTGTGCAGCCGCCCGAATGCAAGTTTTGAATAAGAACTCAAACTCTTTTCAGAGGAGTTCATTCTCATCGCCCAGTTCATCATTTGGCTGCACAATTCAATTCTTTTGTCTGATATCCAATGTACCCATGACAGTCTGCAGACCAGTGATGGTCCGCTGAAGATCTTTGCCAATCTGTGGGAAAATTTTGTCAGCATGCTAACTTTATGGAAGGTATTAAGAAAGTGTGTTATTGTTATCTAAAATTTTGGAAATACCAATGCAGTTCAAACTATCTGATAGAAAAAACGGAAACGCCTATCCTCTTATCCCAGTGAGCAAGAAATTCTCCAAAAGATGTCCAAAACTGATCCAAATGAGTTCTATGGACATCTTTTGGAGAAAATGCCTCCAAAAATTTTGGTCTGGCAGACAATTTTGTAGAACTTGTCCACCAGAGCACAAACTGCAGACACTGGCACCAGAAATATGTGGAAAAGTTCTCCAAACTTGTCCTCACAGTGTCACTGGCACCAGGGTCTTGTGGACAAGTCTGGAGAACTTTTCTGCACATTTCTGACGCCAGTGTCTGGCAGAGAAGTTCTCCAAACTTGTCCACATATTTTGCAGAACTTGTGGACAAGTTTGGAGAACTTGTCCGCCAGACACTGGCACCAGAAATGTGCCAAGAAGTTCTCCAAACTTGTCCACAAGACCCTGGGGCCAGTGATACTGGTGCTAGGAATGTGTGGACTGGCACCAGTGTATGAACCTAATTTCCAGCGTTGCTCCACATATAGTGGGCTGTAGCTGTCTGCCTATGGGGTTCAACTCCCCAGCCAGAGGGCCTGGGTTTGATTTCCAGTGAAATAGCAACTTCTTCAATCCTTAAAATAAATCTGCAGCAATACTCTAGCATAGGTAGGTAGGTTAGCTAGGTAGTGGAATAGGTAATCAATTGATTGTAGATAGGAACTTATGTGCAGTCACTAACTAGATAATATGCATAACCAGCTACTATAAATAAATTCTAAAGAATAGGTGCAATGCTATTTCAATATCAATAAAGCATCTAGAAGAGCTATATAGAGCATGAAGGAATAATTATTACACACATGAAGAGGAATGTGAACTTCCCATGTGGTTGGAAAATTTTATTACAATTTGGCAGAATTTAAAAAGAAAAAGAAAAGATTAAGAAAGGAAAAGAGGAAATTCGGGCATCTTTCAAATAAAAGTCAGACACATTGTCCCATCTTTGTCCAAAAGATGTCCCAAATCCTTCCAAAACTGGTCTGTTTTTGATCCTAAAGTTATCCAAAAATGGTTGTCTTCTGGACAACCACTTTTGGATGACTTTTGGATCAGAATTGGACATGTCTGATTTTCATCCAAAACAACTTCTCCAAAACTTGCCTTTTTTGGCAAGATTCTTGGATAAGTGGCTTTGGATGAATGTTGGACTCAAAACATACATTTCTGTGCTCACTGAGATCCCTCCATGGCCCAGGGTTCTATCCCATTGTGGGCTGGAGTCAGATAATTTTGGTATGCTCCCATTTTTTCAGTTTTTCCAAGGCCAGGAAAACCCTTCCAGGTCAGCTGAGGCAAAGTTGGGATTGATCCAAGAAAAGCCAGTTGCTCAAATAAGCATATTTTTCCTGCAAAATGTTTTCTGCGCTGAGTGAAAAAAACATCCAGATTTTTCCCAACTTTGCCCTCAAATGGCTGTTGTCATTTTTTCTCCACTGCATTAATAATTGCGTGTGGTGACAGAAAGAATTGGAATCACTTTTTTAGACAACAAAAACTAAGATCAGCTAGGCTATGGCCAGAGTGCTTGACACCCTAGTGTTTTTCAATACAATCAAATTCAGAATGAGATTTTGATGTCTTTTGCTTGAAACTGACAAAATATGACTGATGCCAAATCAAGAAGTATACTCAACAAGAAATTTCTCCAAGGGTCATTTTGTGCTTGAGGACTGAATGATATGAGGAAGTCCCAAGGATATTAGAAAAACTTGTGGGAACTTGAGGTCAAACTTGACCCCATGGGATTCCAGAAGGATTAGGTTTCTCTCCAAAGCTTGAACAATCTTTTGTCTTCCCAATTTGTATTTTAAATTTCCAACACCATGGGTTTGGGAACACTGCTCTAGAGGATAGAAAATGAGTGTAATGTGCACTCATTTCCACAATCAATGCACAAATCAATTGGAATTTGCATATGTGCAGTTGACACATGTGTTCTAATGCTAATCACAATGATGAACAATATTGCAGTTCCCAGACTAAAGAATATCTTGAAATGTGTTTCTCTGATCTTTTCTCAGGCTTAGTTTCTTTTTTTAATAGTCAGCAATGAATGATTTTTAAAATTTTGAGGTTCCTTTCACTTTCCTCAATTTTAGTTCGGATCAATTAAAGTTTCTACGTTCCGTTGGGGCATGCGTTTCACGACTAATGGATCAGAATAATTGAACTATGACATTTCAGAACAACTTGGCATCCCAGTTTCTGATCTTTTGTCAAGCGTATAGTTTCTTTCTTCAAGAGAACGAATAATAGTGAACGTGAAAATTGTGAGGTGCATCTTCATCATCAGCTAAACAAGGAACACGATTGTCAAGACTACCTTTCAATCGTGATTATTTTAGCATGCCGTAATTCATTTTTCGCTTCACCTGGAGTACGCACTTGGTTGCTCTTGATCTGCAATCTTAAAATATTGACACGGTCTTAAACTGAGATGAGAAATTTATTAGGCCATTTCGTCTTCAATACCATCCGCAGTATGGACTCACCTGGAGTGAATAATATGAAACCGAGTTCGTCACGCAGGAATATGCGAGGGCCAATAGCAGGAACAAAAGGAATGTCGACGTTCTGGACATGCCTGAGCAGCCAGAACCCGATGGATTCACTTGAGTCATTCTGGAAAAAAATAGTAATCGAGTGTCGTAAATCCAATCGTCGGGGTTTCGTCAAAAACGCACTATGAGCATATTCACTCTGCGGAAGAGCGGAACATCCAAAACTAAGTAGCTGTAACGCGACAAATAGTTATAAGATGCGCTGTGGAACAACTGGCAACATTTTCTCGTAATATTTAAATAAAAAATCAACTTAATTTGGCCGGTATTTTCAGTGTTCAATCGCAATAAGATGCCGTACTCAATATGAAATTTTCAGTGAGCCTAAATTTCGCACTTCTAATTCGTTGGCCTCGCATATACACACTGTGTAGTGCAGAATATGCGTTCAAGACATATTGTGATGAGACTGTATGGACAATACTTTGCCTTCGATTTGCCATGGAGCTTTCCTCCAGATACGTGGCGTCTAGCGTACCTACAACAAAGTTTTTAAAAATGTCTGCCAAGCACATTTCTGTAAGCTAAATTGCCGTTGCGTTTCGCGGCTAGATATATGCAGTATATAGGCTCCATGAATCAGCGAACAACAAGATTAAATTCAGATTTTTACCCATTCCAAACAATTATTTCAAAGAAACGCACACGATAAATTTTATCTCTCATGTCCCCACCGGAAAACTTCGAAAGTCTTAACAGAATAATTCAGATTTAGACTGAATGATACAGTTAAATTCGAAGTTTTCACACGTTTTCTTTATTCTGCCCGAACAACAAAATCACAAATTCCACCTTCAAACCAAGTAGTTAACGCTTGAATGCATTCGTTATGCATCCGAGGTAAAAACCTAGGAATTTTCGCGGGATTTTGTAATTTGGTTCCTTTTCTTCATTTGCGATACAGGCTATGCATGCACTTCAAAATGCACGAAACCGAGCGTTTATGCCAAGTTCATCGTTTTCTTTTAGCCCAAACACTTGGAGACTTTCGCCTGGATCGAGGCCCGAACGGAATTTGATGCGATTCAACTCTCCATTTAATTCTATATATGTACTGTACATGGACAAAGGAAAACGTTCCATGAGGACACTACAAAAAAGGCCGGTGCAGGTTTTCAGGAAGACCCGAAGGGCTAGACTGACTTTCTGGGTCTCAGAACAGCCCTCGTTCGCCGGCGCGCCAACAGCAATCGTCAGAAAGAAGCCTGCCGAAGGGGAAAAAGTATAGGTTATAGTCTTAATTCTACTGCTTTGCCCGTTAGATATCTTTCCTATAAAACGCATAAGAATAGTGTCATGGCCGAACGGTCAAACGTAGTCGTAAAATTCGAAATTCCCCGACTACCAATTCTGGGGCGGCGTGGGGAACACCGCGATGAATAGTCCATTAAAATGGACCTGCGCTTTCTTCCCAAAAACTCAGAAGCAAGGATACCATCATATGGTTGATGTTTTCTTCCAGAGGTGTAGCATTCGACGTGACATGCAGCGGATATGAATAATATATGGAGTGGTCCACTCATTGCTAAACTTGCTTAGACCGGTGTATTTTTTAGACTTTCGCACGCGCGTCTATCATAACCATGCATGGGATATGTTTAATCAAAGGAAATGGGAAATCATACAAGAAAAAATCTTTTCCCTTGTGGTCCTGTGTAAAAATCTGAAAAAGGCAGTGCATTTTTTTATTAAATGAGACTAAGAACTTCCTTAGTGGGCTTGGTAAGTGTAAAAAAGGGGTGCCAACAATAGCTCAAGAGAAGTGAAGTGACATTTCTTGAAATGAAAGATGACAATTGGGTCTTTCTGCGACTATCATCGTTTCTCTTTTGCCACACATTTCTGTTGAATTGGTATTTGGTGAATGTAAATTACACCAGTCTATATTGAAATTTTTGAATGCCACTCTTGACATGAGTACCATGTCCACCTTTTTCCTCAAAACAATACAGTTTGATGTTTCAACTACATACAGTACTTTCATGTCAAGCTGAGTGTTAAATCCTCCAATTGGTTATTACTTGAATCAAGCACAGCATTGCAATCTACAATTTGGCAAGCCTTCCAATTGAACGCTGAACTACATGAGGATTTTAAAAACTACCCAGGAAAACCGTTTTGCACCCCCATACCTGTCAAGGATGGGCCCATTTTAACTTTGTATGGACGCGTACCAACTAGTGGCCAGTTGACCCTACTGCCAGACTTGAAAGTGGACATGTCCTCAGTGGACGCGTCCTTGACTGATGAGTGGTTGAGTCCATTCTAAACGCAACCAGGATGCGTACCTTGATAAATTGTCAAAAGGGGCATGGAAGTGGTATGCCCCAACATAGGCCTACGTTGGGACAGGGCAACGTAGGTCTATGTCAGGATATGCAACCAGCATGGCGCAACGTAGGCCTATGTTGCAACATGCACTGGAAGGCTGCGACATAGATCTATGTTGCAACATGCACTGAGAGTGCATGTTGCGATGTAGATCTACGTCGCGATATATTTCCTTATATTGTAGCCCTTGAAGTCCTATTTCTGAAACTTTTTTCAAATTGAATTTTTCTTCATTTTTAAATTTTTGGCAGAATTTAAAGTAAATGTAACTTTTTTGCATGCGTACAAAGTTACATTTACTTTAAATTCTGCCAAAAATTCATAAATGAAGAGAAATTCAATTTGAAAAAAGTTTAAAAAAAAAGAACTACGTCGTGACATGCAATCTCAGGAGAGAAAAAAGGGAAGAAAGATATATCAACTTTTCTTGGAATTCCACACCCATTCAAGCTCAGACACACACATACACAGACACACACACACACACACTGTCATGATAGCTCCAATGTTCTCTTTAACCTAGCAGACAACGCTCCAAACAGCTGCATTGCCTCTTGCTGTGTCACGCCTTTGCTGCGTGCCGCCTTGCCGAGTCACGCGCCGAGGGTTACGCAACCCTCCCCCAAATGAGGTCAGATCCGGGTCTGACCACCATTGCGACATACTGACCAGCCAAATCTATATAGTTACTTGCCTTTGCTTTATCGTGCACTCATTGCTTTCTAGACGTTCTCTGGATACGTACTTGCTGTTGAATATGAAATAAAGCTGTCACTTATTTTGTATTTGAGGAGTTATTGATTTACCAAACCCGGCAACAGGAATAAGAAAATCTCCTCACAATAAATTGTTGGAGTTAGTTAAACTAAAGCTTACGACGGTGAGTTTATGCAATCAGAGGTTTGAAGACTTTTAAACTAATAGATTGTAACCATCAATTTTAACTAGTTCCGACAACAGATTTGGCGCAGTCGGATTTTCCTTTTTTGACCCGGGTGAGTACACTAAAGTAAAACGCAACACCTGTTTGAAAACAGAGTTAAAGTGAAAAGTTTGCAACTCAGAGAAAGTGACTCAGAAGAGCAAAAATCCAAGAACAGTCCCGGTGACGTGTTCTTTTAGATTTGACCAAGTGCTCTAGGTAAATTCTGTGCAGTGAATATTTCGCCAGCATGAATACCAGTGTTAGAGTATCGGCATTGGATATCTTGAAAGTGATGGACACAATGGAAGAACTAAATCGTTGTTTCATTAACTTGCCCCCTAAAGAACAAGCTGAAGTGGCTAAACGCCGACAGCGAGAATGTGAGGAAGAGATAGCAAAGTTAGAAGCAGAATTAACAAATGCTGCCAAACCTCCCTCTGCCAAAAGGCAAACAGCTGTAAATGCACATCTAGCGCTTTTGAAAGCCCCAGAAGGTCCTCTAGAAACTAGCAAAGCAATAATAGCTAGTCTGGAAACTAATCTGGAAGAAATAGACATGCATTCTAAAGCAATAGACAACACCCAACTTTTGTTAATGTCTCGGCAGCTAAAAGAGGAGATAAAGCAGAAAAAGCAACAACTTGCAGATGCTTTGGGGATAAGACAAGCCCTATTTAATCAGGAGCTGTCAATTGATCAAGTTACTGACCCAACAGCTGACGAATTAATGTTCTACGACGTGGAAAAATCCAAAAAACTAAGAGGTCCTTCATTGCCGATACAACAAGCTAGTATTGCAATGAGCCAGGTTCCTCCCTTCGACGGAGAAGGGAAGGACCTTTGGAGTGAATGGTGGATAAGGTTTCAAGGAGCCTTATACAATGGAGTATACACCGATGAAGGTATTTGTTCTAATCTGATGGATAAATTAAAAGGGCAAGCATTTGAGTACATTACCTCAATTGACGGTTTAGAAACTGCCACCTACAGAATAATAGTGAAGACTCTGCAAGACAGATATGGAAAGGTCAAACCTCAGAAAAGAATGAGGGATCTTTTTAAAATGTCTCAAGGGGCTACAGAATCCGTCAATAATTTTGGAACTAGAGTTTGCAAGCAAAGAAAATTCATAGTTGGAGAAGCCCCTGGAAAGTTAAAGTAGTCCGAAGAGAAAATCAGCCTGATGCCTTATTAGAAAATCCTTTCTTTGTTCATGAGAAATGGGAATATCAAGCCAAGAAAAATATGTTGGATGGATTTTTGTTAACCGCTTTTATCGATGGATTAAAACCATCAATTGGCAGGAAAATAATAGCCACTCCATCTACATTTGAAGCCGCAGTGGCTCTGGCAATATCTGTAGAGGAAAGAAATTCTGACTTTTTAGAAAGGGGAATTAACGACTTGACCCTAAACAATTTATCATCGCATTGTAACGAAAAATCGGCATATACCAACGAGCGAGCCCCCTCCCCATATTTGGCCGGCGCAAGTGCAAACCCTTCTGGTGACCTACGGCGTTCAACAACCTGCTACCGGTGCGGGAAGATAGGTCACTTCAGAAGTGAGTGTACGGCGATTAAAGAAAAAGACTCTCAAGTGCCAAAGCGCAAGTTGATATACTTTGCGCCCAAAAATGCACATCCAAGTCGCGGAATCCTCCGCAACGGCGGAATGCGTAGAGGTCGCTCTTCTTATCGTGGAAGAGGCGCTAGAGGATCCAGCAAAAGTCAAGGACGGAGAATCAACTTTGTCTCTGCAATTGCTGAAGATGATGATTATGCAGAAGACAAATACCAAGATGATTACCAGGAATACCAGAAACCAGAAGAGGAATGGTTGCCTGAAGGATACTACAAGGAACCATCGACATCAACCTCATACTCGGGAAACGAGTATTGACCGGAGTTTCAAGTAAGTCCCAGAAACTTCCGGTAATTTTGTTGTCCCCAATTGTTTCCATATTTCCTTGTAAATTTCTTGTTGACTCAGGATCTGAAATTTCACTCATATCTTTAACAGTTCTAAGACCTGAGATTACTCCTAAAGAATCTTCCCTAATAATCTCAACAATAGAAGGCAGAGAGATTCCCATGCTAGGGATCGTCTCTTCAGATATTCTGCACAATAATCGTATCCTCACTACAGCAGATTTGTTGGTAACCAAAGTACGTAACCAAGAATTTGAAGGTATAACTGGATGCGATATATTGAAGAAACTACGAGCCTCGATAAATTACGCAGAAAGATGTGTGTATTTAAATGAAGCGCGTATTTTCTTCCTGGCAGAATAAAACTTAAAACCTTTCTTAAAACTCGGGAAAAAGTGGAAACTTGCCAATATTGACAAAAACGCGCAATTGTATCCTATTGTGTGCCAACCCATTCCAGCCTTGTCTCAACTTGTTATCTGGACTATACCGGCCAAGGGAGCATGAGAGCATTTGAAAAATAAGACAGTTCTGGTCTGTTATCCCAAAAATAAAATACTTCAGATTTCTATAAAATATTTAATATATATATTTTGATATTCACATCAACATAAAATATAAAG